AGGTAGAAGAGGGAGGAGGTCGAGGATGGTGGGGAAAAGTGGAGGAGGTAGAGGAGGGGGAGAAAGTTGTAGAGAAGGAGGGGGAGGAGGTAAAGGAGGGGGAGAATGAGGGGGAGAATGTGGTGGAGGAGTGGGGAGATAGGTGAGAGAGGAGGTAGAGAAGAGGTAGAAGGTAAAAGAGGGAGGATGGTAGAAGGTGGAGGAAGTAGAGGAGAGTGGGAGAAGGTTGTGGAGGAGGAGGTGGCGGAGGAGGAGGGGGAGAAGGTGGTGAGGGAAGGAGGGAGGGAGGGGGTCGAGGTGGTAAGTGAGTGAGTGAGTGAGAGAGGGAGGGAGGGAGGAGGTCAGGGGTCGAGGTGGTAAGTGAGTGAGAGAGGAAGGGAGGGAGGGAGAGGAGAGAAGGAGGGAGCGATCGAAGCATCTTGTGCTCACCGGCCGGCCCGCAGAATGCACAATATATTGTAAGCGGGCAAATCCCACACGCCAGGGAAGTGATGGCGATGCGGGAACGAATGATTCGATTCCAAAACCGAAGGGTTTGATGCCAGGATCGAATGGTTTGATTGTCTTTTCTGATATAAAATCAAATAATGCGAAAATTTAAAACAGGGAATCATTGTCGATTTATTGCATATAACATATGATTAAATAATCAAATATTATATGCGATAAATCAAATGTTATATGCAATAAATCAAATGTTATATGCAATAAATCAAATGTTATATGTGATAAATCGAATGTTGTATGTGATAAATCGAATGTTGTATGTGATAAATCGAATGTTACATGTGATAAATCTAATTTTATATGTGATAAATCAACCATAAAACAAAAATCGAATTATGAAACAAAATACATGCCATAATAGACCCTCTCAGCGTCAGTAACAGTTGCTGATCATGGACTACAGTGTAACATGCAATGTATCGTTTTCAAATGTTGATATGTATGTAGTAATAGTATTATATGTAGAGCAAGTTTAGCTTCTTTGTTTCTGCCATTCCATTTTGGAACATCCTCCACGTTTTCTTGTCCTTTCGGTAATTGTAAAATTGATGCTTTTTATGCTGCAATCTGCAGTTTTGATTTGTCATATTATCGTATATCTCTCCATCTAATCCCTACTATTACTAAGACTAAATACAATAATGTAACTCAACAAGAGTAGGGGGTAGTAACCCTATACTCTTGTTGAGTTACGTTATTGTATCTCTCTGTAACTAATTATTATGAGGTTACAGTGAATCTTGCTAAATCACTGTGCAATGCATAACAGTGTTTTACACAGCACAGTAGACACAGTGCACTAATGTGCAGGGGCAGATTCAGGGCTGAAGCTAGACAGTATTTTTCCAGATTTTAAGGGCACATCCCCCAAAAAGGGCACACCACCCAACAGTGGGCGCCGTTAGGGGCGGAAGCACATGGCGGGGGGTCTCCCCCAAAAAATTTCAAAATTTTAATGGTCCCTGGGCACAAAAATGAGCACCATTTGAGCACACATTTAGTCAAGCAGCAATAGCTAAAAACCATATGGAATTTTATTTCTGCTTCATTTTGCTTGCGCTTTGCATACCAGCAATTAATGCAGAATGATTCAAGCATTTTGTTACCATGTAAAATTTTGATTTCGTTCAAATCCGGTCAATGAATCAGAAGAAAAAGAAAACAAATAAAGAATAAAGCCAAATTCCATCAAATTGTTTTCTGTATTTTTTAGCGCAAAATTTCGAAGGGCACTTTGAAATCTAGACCGTTTTTCCCAATACGGCAAATACGGTCTGAATCCGCCCCTGATGTCTGAATCCGCCCCTATGTGTGTGTGTGTGTGTGTGTGCGTGCACGCACATGTGTGTATATATTGTATTGTATATCACAAAGCCCTTGATTTATCAATGCACACTTTCACATCTATCATGTATTCTCAGATATCTCAGAACAACCAACAATGAATCAAATTACTGTGAAAGCATTTATGAAGGACGAGATCCGTCTGTTTGATCTTCCGGAGCCAGGGTGGGCGACTAAAAGGTCTATTATGCATAGTAAGATAGAAAATATCTTCCCAGCATTGAATGGAAGAAATGATTATACCCTCTCCTGGAAAGGTATGTGTGATTATATTGGAACATTATTGTGGGGTTTTCAAAGTACATTCATTTAATTGTATTTGTTTGCACATTCACATAAATGTAAGTTTCAATTGATTCCCAATGTGCATACGTATCACAACATAGCAACTAGGGGTAGGACGATTCCTCGACATGTAGATGTATCGCAATACAAACCTTAACGATACTCCTAGATATGTTTGACCATTCGTGATACACATATCGATATTCTACTAACTAAAATCAATATGTAGTTTAGTAGCGTAGTTTATCCCAAAGCAAAATAAACATAATGCAATTCACAATTCCATAGCGGTTATATACTATAAGCCTTGATTGGTAAGGTCCCTGTTGAGTGTGTAGTTTGCTAGGTAGTTTCTCTTGAAAGTGTCGTGATACGTATCGTACAATGCAGGCTGTATCGTGAGCTACCTGTATCGTCCCACCCCTAGTAGCAACTGAGCAGTGGTTTAAGCAGTCGTTAAGCTCATTACACACCTACCTGCTACCTCTAAGTTTTCTCGGGCTTCTGCTTTGCAGATGATGATGGAGATAAAGTTAACTTCTCCAGTGATGTAGAGCTGCGCATTGCCATCAAATATATGCAACTCCAGCCAGATAACAAGAACCTGATGCGTGTGTATGTTAAAGGTAAGAGTACGCTCACTACGCTGTCATCACAGGTGTTTGTTATAGCATAACTAACGAGCTAATATGCACGAGTATACAATAAAGTATTAAATGTTTAGTCATGCTATTATGTACGATCCACTGTGCAGTGCATAATTACATGTTAGTAGATATAACCATAGGAATCGTGGCACTTCACACTTATTTCTCTGTTATATATTTTGGTTATTTGCTGTCGGTTTCACGAAGGAGTGAGCCGAGCTTCGTGATTTCACAGGTGCTGCTTATGCTAGTGCATTTCTCTGTTGTTTTCTGGTTAAATGAGACATTTTTTTACATTCTTTCTTTGCGCAGTCCCTGAGGACGTCGACGCATGCGATGGGTCCGAAGCGGAACATGTGGGCGTGGTGTGTGACGCATGCGAGGGACGGGTGCACGGCATCCGCTACAAGTGCATGATGTGCCCCTACTTTGACCTGTGCCCCACCTGCGAGCGCGCCGTCCGCAGCGCCCGCAACGCCATCTGTGATCACCCGGTACACTAATAATAGGAACTTCAAATGTATTTTATCCGGACCATCAGTGTCTGGAAAATCGGTGGTGTACCTGTACATGGTTTTTTTCAATTTATACCTATTTTTAGCTCATCTGACATAGTCAGATGCAGCTTGTAGAATCGCATGATCGTCCGTGCGTCCGTCCGTCCGTCCGTCCGTGCGTCAACAGTTGGGCACAAATCTTAACCGCTCGACGTACGGTCACGATATTCGGGACGTGGGGGGGTAATTCGAAAACGAGTTGGGATGGCAAAGCTGGGGGTCAAAGGTCAAAGGTTAAGAGGTGTAAAATAAGGGGGAACATTCACTCCTTAACTTAAGGTATAGGGAGGAAATGCAGAATTTGATAGTTGGTGTATAGCATCACGGTAGGAAAAGCCATCACTGTGTGAAAATTGGAGGTCAAAGGTCAATGGGTCACAGGGCAGATTTTAGACATTTTCTGAGGACATGGTCTGACGGAGCGATTGAAAAACTTTTTTTTATGGCTTTATTGAAAGGACCATGAAATGTACTTTCTGCTGACATGCGAAGAGTAAGTGTCAAATAACCTTTTGACCCTCAAGACGAGGGTTAAACATTGATTTGTTGACTGTTAACAAAGGACTGAACTGCTTTTGCTTTTATTAGAGCCCATACCTGTGTGAATGTGAGGCTACAGTTGCACAGTTGAATTACAAAGCCAAATGTTTGTTGAACAAGATTTACACTCCTTAAATCATATTATGTTCTAAAGCAGTCTGTCTATAGCACCCTGAAGGCTGAATCAGTGAATGCTTGCGTGAGTAGGCAAAAACACGGGGCAGCCCATAGCTGGCACGCTTCTAATCATAATTGTTGCCTGCCAACCTGCAATGCATAGAGATTCGGTGGGTGCGAAAGTGTAGCTGATATATTTGTTCGAATTGTCTACGAAAGTCAAACAAGAATAAAGAAGACTTATGTATAAGACGTCTTGCTATGCACAAATGAATTTATCAGCAGAACACCAGACACCAGATGAGCCCTGTCGCACTGCGGCACTTGTTGTAATATTTCAATCTATTTAATGTCGTGATATAATAACGTATTAATAATTTAGTGTTTATATATATATATATATATAATTAATATAATAATAATAATAATAATAACAATAATGTAGTTGTATACTAATAACATACATAATTACGGACGGGAATCGTAAATGCATCGTTGTAATCCGTCTCAGGATCGCGAGACTGGAGCGAGACGCGATAGACCTCGCGTCGGAGGAGCGGCGAGCGAACGACGCCATCAAGCAGATCAAGCTCAACAAGGTGGCGCTGCTCAAGAAGTTTCAGAACGTCGTCGGCGTAAGTACGAAACTCTCGACGGCCGTCGCTCCGACACAAGGCTGGTCGGCTGGACTGTCCACCAGTTGGACGCTGTCCTGTAACGTCTACCATCCGACAATCTTCGCTCCATCCTGTGTCGTCTCTGGTGAACGCTGTGTGCTAGATGCGCTTAATGTCACGACCGCGTCGATCGTTTCCGTTAAGTAGTAGTTGATAAAACAAGTTGCCATATTGCTACTCGTTTATTGGCCGTGTATCTTCGATCATGTATCATCCGAACTTTTTATATCGAATTCGAGTACAAAGAAATTGGCAACTTATACACGAGTAAATACGGTGTATTAAGTCGGTGTAAATATGTTAGATATGCGTGACGTGTGTCACGTGACTAGTGACACGTGACTAGTTGATCGTGTGTCATTGATCGTGTGTCGTTGATCGTGTGCCGTTGATCGTGTGCCGTTGATCGTGTGTTGTTGCAGGAGGTGTGTGAGGCGAGCAAGCAGCGCATACGTCTCTACCTGCTGCTGGCGCAGGGCATCCTAGCCGCTCAGAACCTCGACAATGCGATCAGGGAGGCGTCGGCCGAACACACGCAGCTGCAGGTGCGTGACACAGAGCGTGGGGTTGTTCGCTGCTGCTGATGGTGGTGGCAGCGGCGGCGGTCGTGATGGTGCTGTTGATGGTACTGCTGCTGCTGCTGCTAGTACTATTACTAGTACTCCTGCTGCTGTTGCTGCTGCTGTTACTGTTGCTGCTGCTGCTGCTAGTACTATTACTAGTACTCCTGCTGCTGTTGCTGCTGCTGTTACTGTTGCTGCTGCTGCTGCTAGTACTATTACTAGTACTCCTGCTGCTGTTGCTGCTGTTGCTGCTGTTGCTGCTGCTGCTGCTGACGACGACCATGACAGTGACGAACTATATAATATAGGCTTCTTTGGGTTCTGATCAGCCTAAAAATTTCTTTTTTTTTTACGAGAGCTCTTTTTTGATTTTGTATGAAAAAAAGAATCTTACGAGTAATTTTTTTACGGGAGCTATTTATAGGCTTGCGCAGATCTAACTTATCTTCTAGCGATGATTTGTTAAAATTATTCTATGAATTTGATGCACCGATCTAATTAATATCATTCATCAGCCATTACAGCACTCCAGCACACTAATCAGACTATCGTTGTTAAGAATCGTACAAAATTAACATTCGATCACATTTTTCATCTCATTCTCCACTCGACTAGAAACACAATCACATTCTTATCTCAATTTCATTCTCACAGCAGAAGACTATGACTACAGCAGTACACATAGCTCAGTAACATGCAAAGACAGGAAATCAATAATTATAATCAGGAATGAATGGGTATGGTTATTTTCAAGTTTCTTTTTTTTTCATTCATTTACTTTGCGGATCTTTTCAACTTTATTTTACATTGACTGAGCAATTCAAAACTTCAAGAGAGTTTTAGATTACTTTGAGTAATGTTAAAAAGACTTGTTACTGGAATCTCTCAGGTAATCCGGGGGCTATCTGAGTAAGGTTTTCACTTTTCGTTTTTCTCCTCCCCAGTCACACGTACCCCTGCATTGATCAGATATGCGTGTCGCACATCCCGAAATTTACGAGTGGTTGCTAATACTATTTTAAGTTATTACATTACCATTGCTTCTAGATATCTAAATGAATAAAAATAGTTTCACTTTTACTAATTAACTGCCAATTCATTAACAGCTTTTGGTTACGCACCCCGCCCGCCGGTGGCCGCCGCGCCGCCGCCTCCTCCCTGCCCGCCGCCGCCCCCCAGTGGTCTCACCGGTTCGTGCCTCATGCCCCAGCGCGCATAGATGGTTACCCCCTCCGCGATTATAAAAACTTATTGTTATGGCCCGAGCAAAAACGTGGTGGGCTGGCGCCTCCGGCGGCGTCGCGAAACTTAATTTCTAACGCTGGCCGGCGGCACCGGCGTACGCGATTTTTTCTCGGTATCTTCCAAAATCTTTCGCCTCTCGGTAATTGTTGGTTACCAGACAGCGCTTTGAAAGCTGACCCGCGATGCGAATCGCGCGAGTTCGCGCTCCGTGTATTTTTTTCGCTGGTTCTGATGTCTGTGTGGACACTAGATGTGAATTGTTAGTGTCATTTATCGGTTTGAGCGGCGTGGAAACAGTCCCTCGCGACAAGAAACAGACAGGCAGGCAGAGGCGGAGACCGCGTAGACAGGGCCTGCAGCTGACGTGGACAACCTAGCTGTTCTCCATTATATCAGACGTTGGAGGCAGCCAGCCACCGCCCCTGCTCGAGTGTACGCACTCGGCATGTCAGCCGTGTTAATTTCTCGCAATGGCGGATAGTTTCAGGATGACTACGCGGGAGGCGTGGTAAGCACGGCCACCCAGCTGAAGGCCAAGCGCGGCAGCTTGGTTAGCCTGCACCGCACCGCCGAAGACGCTATGCGGCGCAGCAGCAAGGCAGACGAACGCTGCCGACCCATCTTGCTGTGCAGCGTGACGACCCGGTGAAACAAACATAGCGTAACGTAACTAAAAGCCAGACGTGAGGTAGCTAACGTGACACCGCTCTGGGTGACGGCTCATATGTGAGTCTGACCACCGCGTTCCAGTGTTGGTACCGTACTCCTAAGCCAGCCGGCTTGGCCCGGTGCAGCCCGTGATTTTTCCGCGTTCGGCTTAACGCTACGCGTCAGTTTCGAAAGCTGAATTGGTCAAAAAATGTGGCTCAGGCACGCGGCGCTCAATGAGATATTTGACTTCTAAAGACGGACGTCAAAAATAATCTGCACTCCCATGACCATATCGCCTCGATTTGTTCTGGCCACTCCCACAATTATTCTGCTGGTTAATAGCGCTGCCGACCCCGGAGGATCTTTCTCCCCGGGTCCCACTGTTTGCGACCGACACTCCTCCTGCCAGCACGCTCCGACGTGCCGACGGCGCAGTAGTGAGACACGATGATTGCGGTGGAGGCCTCAACGTTAACTGACACGTTCCACTGCCGAAACACCACAGTGTCTATCACTTCGTACCCTTCGAACATTCGCTAATGCACGTCCGTGAAACCGCGAGTCGAACTCGTGGAACATCGTTCAATATGACCGACCCACCTTAAAACTTGTTTTGTAAAAGATTAATCACTCCTGTGGATAATTATGTATTACTCAATCAAGATGGGACTGTGTGTCTGCGCCGCGGGAATATGAATGAGTGTATGAGTTGACTGCAGATGATTGTTATTTGCAGACGTTTCTCACCTTACCCGGACAATCAAATAGGTAGAAGTAATAAATGGGAGGCTCGACATTAATTGTGTCGCGGACGATTGTTTTACAGACGTTTCTCACCTACCCGGACAATCAAATAGGTAGAAGTAATAAATAGAAGGCTCTCGTTAATAATTGACTTGCGGATGATTGTTTTACAGACGTTTCGCACGTACCCGGACACGCTGGACGAGTTAGACGCGCTCATACATGACGAACAGGCGAGGGCCGCATGCTACATAGCCGTCGACGAGAGCGTGAGTCACGGGCCGGGTCTTCCCCTTGTCATAGACGCAAGGGTCGCCCCCTGTCATAGACGCAAGGGTCGCCCCCTGTCATAGACGCAAGGGTCGCCCCCTGTCATAGACGCAAGGGTCGCCCCCTGTCATAGACGCAAGGGTCGTCCCCCTGTCATAGACGCAAGGGTCATCCCCCTGTCATAGACGCAAGGCGCGCCCACGGCAGAGCGGCCGTGGCCGGGTGTTAAAGCGATCGAAGGGCCTGTTTGTTTGGGAGATGAAACCGCGTGGTCGGGATCGCTTGATCGCTCGCTTACACATTTCATGATCGCGTCATTTTACTCGTAGTGTAATTGCGGGGAAGGCGCAACACTAGGTGCAGTTCTCGTTAACTCAATAATCACTAATAATAATCAAATAATCGTTAATAGTAATTAAAGTAATCGTCCTCAACGTCACTGTGCTCATCGTTGCTTGCCCGCCGCCCCCGTGCGGTGTCCGAGCATCCGACTCCTCTCCGCGATGCTCACCCGAGGTCGCGTCGCGCTCGTTCAAGGTCGTTCACGACTACGTCGCACGCAAGGAGCGAATTCTGCAGCTGGAGGAGGAGGTGTCCACCCTACAGCGTTCCCTGGATGATCACGGAGACAGCATCGAACACGTGAAGCGAGCCTGGATTGAACCGGTGCTGGTGAGCAAACGCCGGGGCGTGTGTGGGGCAGGGGGCGCCACAAGGCAGGACATTGTGGGGCAGGGGGTGCCACAAGGCAGGGAGTGCCACAACGCAGTACATTGTGTGGCAGGGGGCGCCACAAGGCAGGGGGAGCTGTGGGTCAAGGAGCAGTATGGGGCGGTGGGACGGAAAATGTCGTTTTGCATTTGCAGCAGGAGAATGACAAGGCATTTATAGCTTGTCAGTTTGTAAGACGGCTAGAGTCCCTGCTAGTGCATGGCGTGTGATAGTAGCAGTAGTATACAGATTTCATAAGGAACGACTATATGGTGTACGGTTTGTCAATTTAGTCAAACCATATGTCGGTTTACAAACACACACCATATTTCCACCAACCATTATCGCACCTGCCATTTCACGTTGACTCGCCCGATAAACTCATGTCTACCTGCGATCCCGCGACCCTGGCTCGGTCACGTAGCCCCAACTGCTGACTATTCTTATCAAACATTTTCTGCATTTACGACTAAAAAATCAGCTGCAATTATCTGTTTATAGAGTGTGCGTATATGCGCGAGTCCCCTATGCTTTCTTTAAACGCATGTGCGCGTGCGTATACTCGCGGCGGGTGTTGGAGTTCATATGTACGCGTGTGCGTGCATGCGTGCGTGCGTGCCGGCATGCGTGCCTGCATGCGTGCCTACATGCGTTCGGGCATGCGTGAATGTGCCAGCGTTCGCGGGTAGGTGCAACTGTGCGTGCGTGCGTGCGCAGGTAGGTGCAACTGTGCGTGCGTGCGTGCGCGGGTAGCTGCAACTGTACGTGCGTGCGTGCGCGGGTAGGTGCAACTGTGCGTGCGTGCGTGCGTGCGTGCGTGCGTGCATGCAAGCGTGCCGACATGCGTTCGGGCATGCGTGAATGTGCGTGCGTGCGCGCGGAGGTGCAAGTGTGCGTGCGTGCGTGCGTGCGTGCGTGCGTGGATGGCGTGACTACGTATACGCTGTCATTTCACCAAGTGGCGAGACAGATAAGAGATGTTTCGCAAAAAAAAATGCAAAATTTATAAGCCTACGTGTATAGAAACACGTTTCCGCGGCGTGGCACGCTTGCAAATAATAATTATTCTTTTCGTCTCACTCTGAAAAAAATGGAAAAGCAAAGCGACATTTGAACATTGTTTGTTTTACAACTTTTGCGTTTTTGCTTAAGAACCCCCGTTATCACATCATGCGACTCGTATGTGTACAAGCGCGCCCATTTTGTGGTATTTTGCTGCGTTAGGCTGAAATCCCACCTTAGAGCAAAGCCAATCAGTAATCTGAAGTTGTTAACGTACACAGTACACAGAGTTATGATAACAGCATTCACTTACCTATATATAGTTGTTACATTTCGATATTTCTCAGTAGAGTGCACGTCACATCGTTACCAACTTGTCTATCTATACTATAATTTGGCTAATCCTGTGTGTGTGTGTGTTTGTTTGACCTCGCTTTATTCGTCATTTGTCACTCAATCACGGTAACTGAAGATATATTCAGAATCACCACGTCTGGGAGATGGTTCTGGCTGAGACAAAAATTTAAACAAGTTAAAAAGTTAAAAACACATAAAAAAGCTATTCCTCAATAGATGGTGCTACATCTCAGATCCCCCCCTGAAAGTTGAAGCACGTACTGCCTACACTGTATTCTCCCTCCCCCCCACACTGCAGATTCCCCTCTGGTTTTACTTTCACGTTCACTCTGCTTTGCCGTACACCGTACTGACACAGTAGCCAGTGGCCATGCAGTAGCTGTACCAGTGTTCTGTTGTACCCAGTGCAGTGGTGAGTAGTCTGTGATTATGAGTTATTTTTTAGAAAAACCCTCTACATCTAATATTTATTTTCAATCATTCATTGCACGTACAGTACACCTAAGTCTAAATTCCAATGTATGTTATAGTTGTCACATGCGTCAGTGCAACTATATATATATTATCAAGAGCGTATAAAGAATACCTTCTTTATGCGCTCTTGATATTATCATGGCGACACAGCACACTCGCAGCGGCGAGTGCAGGAGCGTTCGGCGTTAGTTTTTACATGGGTTTTTATGAAAGAAAGTTGATATACAGTGACGCAACAGTGGAACTGTAATTGAGAAGTACGGTAGTAGGGTCTATTTGTGAATGTGCGTTCATATTATTTTCAGTTTTTACTGACTCTGTCCCAAGTGCCTTTGGTTCTACGGGTATACTTTCTGCTAGTATATATAAAGTTGTTCAGCCGAATTAGTTCGTACTCGCATAACTATAGAATTCCGCAGCCTAGAGGAAAACTAAAGATATTTTAACAATCAGCACGTCTTGGCTAAAACAAAAATTTTAAAAAGTTAAAAAGTTAAAAATTAATAAAAATTCTATTCATCAATAGATGGCGGTGCATACAGATTAACATCACGTAAGTGTGAATCCATGGGTATACCTTAAACGGCGCAGTGGCCTAATCGCTAGAACATTCGTCTCCCACACCGGGATTCCGGGTTCGAGTCCCAGCTGGGGAACTTATTTTCTCCTTTTTTTCTTTTTTTCCTTTACATACCTCTTTAGTATGTATTATTTTTAATTTTTTGTATTTAATGTCTTATCTTTTGATTTCTTATTATTTTGTACTGTTTGGGATGGAATGGGATGGGATGGCATGGCATGGGATGCGGTGCGATGGCATGGCATGTCATGGGATGGCATGGGATGGGATGAGATGGGATGAGATGGGATATGGGATGGGATGGGATGCGGTGCGATGGGATGGCATTGAATGGGATGGATGGATGCATGGATGCATGGATGGATGCATGGATGCATGGATAGATAGATAGTATGGATTTTTTGGGGTATTTTCCTTTCAACCAAGCGGTCACCGACTGAGTAACGCCACTGATTTCCCCTGGCAACGCCAGGTATCCCGCTAGTACTATATATAACTACCATATGGCGCGAACAAATTGAGTTACATTTCTAAAATTCTAGATACATATCAACACATGTCGTAGCTATAATCCTCGTGAATTTTGAGTTTATTGAAGCACGAATAGTCTAATTAATTACCAAATATATACGCGCAGTATCGCTCATAGGCTAAAATTTCCGCACGTTCGTGAGATTTTTCCTGAAAATGTCAATTTCAACGTTATGAAACTAACATATGTCTGTATGTATCTAGAATTTTAGAAATGTAACTTAATTCGTTCGCGCCATATGGTATAGTTATATATATAGTACACTTTTTAATTAATTAAACTAATCGTGCTTCAATACACTTAAAATTCACAGATACTATAGCTAAGACATGTGTTTATATGTATCTAAAATTTTAGAAATGTAACTCAATTCGTTCGTGCCATATGATAGTTAGTACACTTTTCTACCGTCCGTAGCCGTGCGTATATTAGCCTATGAGCGATACAGCGCGTATATTTTTGGTAATTAATTAAGCTATTCGTGCTTCAATAAACTCACGGAGACCATAGCTAAGACATGTGTTTATATGTATCTCGAATTTTAGAAATGTAACTCAATTCGTTCGCGAGATATTAGAGTTAGTACACTTTCCTACGGCCCATAGCTTAATAGCGCATGGTGGTGGTGGTGGGGAGGGGGTTAACGGCTGCATGTGTGCGGCTGCAATGCGCCAGCGTGCTCAATAGGAGCGGTGGCTGTTGGGGGGTTCGGAATC